GTGAGTGTGTGCCTGTGAATACAGGTGCCCAGGGAGCATTTCTCTGGAGTTCCCCTGGAGCTAGAATTACAGGCAGTTGTGAGTTGCCCAGTGCGGGTGCTGGGAACTGAACTCAGGTCCTCTGTTGGAGGAGAATGTGCTCCTCATTGAAGAACCATCATTTCGGCCCCTAAATTATGTGTAAGTATGTGTATCTGCATGTGAGTGTGTGCCTGTGAATACAGGTGCCCAGGGAGCATTTCTCTGGAGTTCCCCTGGAGCTAGAATTACAGGCAGTTGTGAGTTGCCCAGTGCGGGTGCTGGGAACTGAACTCAGGTCCTCTGTTGGAGGAGAATGTGCTCCTCATTGAAGAACCATCATTTCGGCCCCTAAAGGACTAACAATTCCAAATATCTTGTCTAATAATGTTCAGTAAATGTCAGAAGTTAGATTTAAGCCCAGGTATTCTCATAAGGATTTCATTTTTCTTTTTCAACCACAAATGGTGTACAGCATATGCCAGGAGGAAAATAATGAAATTTTAAGGACCAAACAAAGGAAAGAGAAGGAGGATAGAAGAAACATATATATTAGTATGGAGAGTGATACTAGGTAGTGTTCTAATATATTTAGAGAGCAATAATAAACTATCAATCCTTAAAGCTTTCAGGAACAAAGATTTTGTTATAGTATTAGAAGTTTATCTGAAAAAAAAAAAAAGCCTATGACATTCCACAAATCTTTTTCATAAAGGAAAAAGAGAAGCCGTTATTTCACAGAGCTGTTGTCATGGTTACCTAAACCCATGACTCTCTGCTGAAATGTGACTTTGTTTTCCTTCCCACTGTTGTTTCCATGTGATGTGCTTCTCACCTGAGAAATGAATTCCCTGGCTGTAGTTTCCTCACATCTATCATCAGGAAATGCTTTTCTCTGCTTTGATTCCTCATGAAAGCTGTTTCTGATACACCTTCTTTTTATGGCCTGCATTTCTGTTGCTTGCATAACATTATATCCAATGATGTTGAACACAGGTGTTTTGTACTTAAATGTTATTGAGCACGCACTCTCCTTCCTCAAGAAATTGAGGATTATTCTGAATGATAACAATGTTTCTTCTTTAAAAACTTTGGGGATTAATAAAAAATGAACAAATGGACAAGCAAACAAAACATGTGAATTGCACATGGAATCTTTTAAAGAGAATTGGTATGAATTACTTGACTTTTATGTATTATTGTCTCTCAAGAAAAGACTGTTAGGTAATTATCCACTCAACGTAACTAACACTTAGATGCACTGTGATCTTTATCAGATTCTTTTGTATACATGCTTTCATAAACACACACACACATGCACACACACACACACACACACACACACACACACACACACACACACACACACACACACACACACACACACACGAACACCCACATATACACATGAACACATATTCATATAGAAGACAAGCAACAACTGCACAAAATGCCTTTTCCCAGATTTTGAATGAGTACTCATTATTGGCATTGCTGTGGCCTTGGCATTGAGGATTCAGTGCTCTAAAGGATGAGCAGAGATCCTAGAAATCAACCTAGGATTAGAGTTAGCAACTCTCTGACCTTCAATCTAATGTGTATTTATGAAGCCCATTCCATGTATATATGCTGTTTAAGCCAACCGTGGTCCTGAGCACCATGACTACAAAAGTATTTATAAATCTTTTTTACCTTGGATAATCTGACAGTCTGGTAGACACAGACAGGCTTAATAAACCATTCACATGTAAGGAAGAGTTACAGGAGCTATGATATAAATCTGCACAGAGTATGGAACAAAGAGAGGGAAGGGAATCAATTTTATCTGACAAAGAGGTGGATCATTAGAATTCTAACAGGATGTTGACATTATAACATAAATAGAAATAAACGTCTGATGCACTTTAATTTTGAGTGAGTAAAAGTAACTACCTGTCAAATTATACTTCCATAAATTAGTTTTATATTGAACTCTCTTGAGCCTAAATGTGCAACACAGCTGGCTTAAATAGCAATAGGGACAGATCTACCTAGCTTTTGTCACCAGGGACATACATAGGACAAATCCTCATACACTTTCAGATCTGTTATTTATAAAGTGGGCCCTGCATGATTATATCATAAAATACCTCTCATCTTGGAATAATAAATGCCATCAAATATCTAAAATCTTCTTTTGTTTGTCAAATGAAACCACGTCTGCAGTCAAGCAAAAAGTGGAGGCTTTGTATGAGCTGAGCTATCAGCCTGGCTGATGGGAAGGCATAAATGAACTCATTTTAACTTGCAAGCTATTTGATCTCATCTAACACAAAATGGTCTAGTTTTTAATTTGAGTGTTCAGTTTAGGCAAAAGCATTCAAATTAATGGTGTGCTTGTTGCAGAACCTGTGTTTTCATAAAGTGAAAGTAAAAAGGTAAAACAATTTCCAGATTAATTAAATCTGTGATACTCAGTAGTGGCTGAACATTAGAACCACATGATGAGGGGCTAAAAATACAGGCACTCTTGGGAGGCTGAGGCGGTAGGATTGCCTTGAGTTAGAGGCTAGCCTGAACTATGTAGTGAGTTCCAGGTCAGATGAGTGCTCCAGTGTAGGACTGTTTCTCAAGCAAAGAATGTAGACATGAACACTTCACAGGAGACCACCTGAATCTGATTGCAGCAAGAAGTTACAGGACTTCAGCCCACACAGCTGCAAAGTAGCTACAGTAGATCATGAGAACTATTGGATTAAAGCAATGGAAGCAACCTTTCTTTGCTTTGTTTTACTTTTGTAAGTCATTGGGGTTTTTATTGAAATGTGATGTGCTATTCTTTTCTTTTAAATTGGGATATGTTCACTGAACAAGGGCTTCATAAAGTCATTTCCATACAAGTGTGCAATATACTTTGACTGTATCCCCTTTCTATACCTTTCTACCCTTCCCTAACTGGAAGGGGAGAGGAGGAAAATAATAACTTCTAAAGGACTTTAGTTTAATCAGAGAGGTTGTGTAAATAAAGAAAATGGACAATAAGAAATTGATTTTACTGTCATCTCTGCAACTGATTATCCCTGGACAGTTCACACAGAAGGTAGACGGCAACTGTTCATTCCTTAAACCTCAGTTTAAAAAAAACGCTTGCTTCTCTCTTTTTTTCATCATTGTTTCCCAATATTCTCTAAAAATCCATTTCACTCAAACATAATCATAGAACAAATCGTAGAACAAATTTGATGGCCATATTATAACAATTGCAGTTCACAGCTTACTTGATAGAACAAACAGTAAGCTCTTTGCCTGTTTGATTTCTTAGACAGTAAAACAGTTCACCACAGTCATAAGGAGATAAAAAAGGAAAAACTTGAATCTAATAATAAATACATGATTAAAAATATGTAATTCTGAGCATCATCTGGTAGTCTACATTTCATGTAATTGAATATTAACTTGAATCTTCCTACTGAGCTTAGTGGTATATTGTAACATTTCTTTTGATAATTTAGACAATCTTTCAACCTCTCTTCATATTAAACTATGCAGTTAAGGAAAGCATTGCAACTGAGAAAATCCTACTTTCAAGCTTGACAGTATTTTAAGCAGCAACCACAGATTAGAGGGCTAGGTAAGAGCATTGCAGTTTGTAGATTAAGAATGATAGAATACCTACTGATACAGACTTTTCCAACACAGCTTTTCTAGTATGTCCTGCATTAAAGCACTCATTATGGCGAGTAAGCAGTTGGCACTAATGACACCAGAAATTAGCAGCCATTTTTCAATGGCCTTTAATAGGCTTCATTTTGAAAGTGTGTGGGCATAGAGGGTAAACTTTGGTATTTCAAATTTTCAAAGTGTGATGTAGTACTCTTTTCATTTCATTTTAATTGTAGTCTAAAGGGCTGCGGTAGGACATTTTGGAACAGAAGACAGGACAGCATCTTTTCCACCTCTATTTATTTAAATGCTATTTTAACATATATTTCTTTGGTTTTCCTCTAATCCAAAGTGAAAAAAAAAGAGAAGTAGGAATTTAATCTCAAAATAGCAATCCATTAATTCTGTGTCTGACATTTGCAAGCAAAAGAGGAAGAAAGTTTATTTATTTTTCAACCTAATGAAAAAAGAAAGAGCCAGATCCCTTTTCAGGGGCAGTTATGTCCATAAGAGTAATACAGAGTAATCATACAGCAGTCCACCCATAAACAAGTACCATATTTGCTATTTACCAGCTGTGTGATCATAAACCAATTTTAATAAATTCATCTAACACTTTGTGTTTAAAACACAAAGTGCACATTGAGTGAGTTAATGCATAAGAATATTTTCACTAGGGCTGTGTACATTCTAAGTACTGTATGAATACTTGTTGTTTTCATTACATATACTTGACCTTCAACATATTTATAAATTTAAAAAACTGGAGGAGTTTTTTTTTATCCATTCAGTATTTATCAAACTTTCATGCAATAATATTCATCAATGATATTTAAAAGATATTCCTGGGTTCTCTCTTGATGATTATGATCAATAGGTCAATAGATCTGGGATGGGGCAAGGATTTATATTTTTAAATACTTTACCCTATGAATTTTATTGTTAATATGAACTTTTATTCAGAAAGACGGACTAAGATAATTTTTTCACTCATTTAAATACGTATGCATTCACTCATTCACAAATAACTTTCTGATTCATTAATACAGGCCAGATACCATCCTAGGTGCTAGAATGCAGTGGTGAAGCAAACAGTCTTTGTTCATGATAACTTAGAAACCTAATAGAAGAGTTACATAATAGGTACGTATTCACACAGATAACTATTTAATCACAATTGCGAAGTGAGTGTTCCATAAAGGAAAGATACAGGAAACACTGGCAGCTCTTACTAAGCCACCCTTCCTACAATCCAATAGCAGGAGGGAAGCTTACAAATATCTACATGAAGAAGTAATGCTAAGTCCCTTTCCTCTCTTTGCATCTCCAGGACATCTTACCTGCCAGGAGGAGAAGAAGGATGCTGGGCTGAGTAGGTTGGGGTTTTCAGGGTGACTCCCTCCCATGTACTCATCTGTACAAATGTCACATTTTTCTGCGTCCCGCCAATCCCAGTATGGAATAGTGAAGTTCTCATCTCCAGTTAGTTCTTGGACTTCTTGTTCCCACAGTAGCAAGAAGAGTCTGTGCCAAGGCAAAAATCCTGGAGCTTCATGGGCAAAATCAATGTCCCTCCAGATTTCAGAGCCCCCAAGCAGCGTGTCCCTTGACACATAGTAATGCATCCAGACAAAGAGGTCATAGATGTTGATGTCATTAAACATGGGTGATGACCCATTGTTCATTTGGCTGTAGGTGCCTGTGGGAATTACATAGTCTGGGCTGATAGTATGCTTTGCTAAAGTGAGGTAAGCAAAGAATTTATCCTTCTCTGGGTCACTCAAATCATAGATGTTTCTTCTCACCAAGAGTCGCTTCTCTGTACAGTTTGGACCCACATATCCAAACTTACAATTTCCACAGTTGAATCCCATGAAGTTTCCAGAGCACTGGCAGGTCCTGTTATAAAACACAGAAGGCCAGGACTCCCGGTCATCCACCCCTCTGAAGGGGAATTGAGGCCCAGAGGGTGCATTGGACAGAAGGACGTCCTGACAGAAGCCTCTGCCTGAAAGCTGGCCACAGGGGCTCCCATCCCCCTTCCATAGTGGGCAGCACTCCTTTGCCATCAGATTCTCAGAAGAAGCACAGACTCTGGGGAAATGGCCAGCGGAGATCTGGAAACTCCATAGCAGGCAATACAAAAAAGCCAGGAACATTTTCCCTCTAGATCATACAAGATCTGCTTAAACTGGTTAACTAGAGTCACAGACTTCTTTTTCAGCAACCCCTACTGTGACTATCACATGTCTTGGCTAAGACCTATATAATACCACTCCCCCTTCTGACATCAAATGCTCTCAGTCTTTATCCTTATCATCTGGGAAGCACATGACTAACTTTTCCTTGGATTTGGCACATACCCTACTATGGGATAGACAGACCTACGCTGAAAGAAGATACACTATTCTAATTGCTTGTGAAATTAACAGTGACTGGGATTGGTAGATAAGAAGTTGTACTAAGAATAGAACTGTCTTCTCTGAATAAAAGTTAGGAAAAGTTCTGGATTCTGAGCATAAGGCTACATTTTCTCAGAGACCATAAGTGGATCTCAGCATTTATAGAATTCAACTTTCAATGAGGTTTCCTATAGAAGCCAGAAACTTTCTTGTATTTGACTGCAGTTCAGCTTATTTTATACAAATATATCCAAATAACATATCTGTCTGATAATTTCCCTGATTATCTTGATAGACTCTCTATTACAAGGATGGCTTACCTTTATAACTTGGTGAATTGCTTAATTGTAGGAAGTTTTATTAGTTAAATTTCAAAACTCTCTCTCTCTCTCTCTCTCTCTGTCATTTCACCACATTTCTCATTGCACTAAACACTGAAGTTAACAGTTTCTTTGAAGTTTTTTTTTTAAATGTGATTCTCGAAAAGAAATTATCAGTTTATGGGTGAACAAACATGAAGGATATACTTATTGAGCAAAAATTTTTAATGTTTATCTTTGATCATTTTTGTGCCTTTCATATAATAGAGCTTAATCAAATTTAGACACCCTCCCCTAATAGCACCACTCATAGCCCCTACCACTGGATTCCATGCATTCTCTCATATATATTATGGACTATCCCGACTCTAGATAGGCTGAATAAGAAGAACAAAACTGTTTCATTATCTCAATTTTTCCAGGAATTATATTTCCATGTGAAAGTGAGTAAAGCAAATTGAACTATATGGCAAAATTCATTTTAGCCGCTTACATTAGTTTTAGATAGAACAATCTAGAGAATAAATTCATCAAAATAAGTAGGTGGAACACTTTTTTGAACTGACAGAACTAGATGCAGTGCATAATTTTAGTACTAATAGTATGCAAGTGTTTAAGAGGTATGCCTTGAGAGAAACCTTAAAATACAGGTATATTCTGGAAAGACAAAAGAGACTGGAGCCAACACTTGAGGCAGGGAAAATAGTCGGAATAGAAACTATTTCATCTGCTGAGTTCGCACTCTAGATTTCAAGATGTCTTCTGCATCACAGGCAATTAAATGTGGGGCAATCGTTGGAGGGCTTGAAGACTGCTAAAGTAAGGTAAGGGGCCCTTTTATGAGCTGAAGCAAATGAGGATGGTCAAATGACATGTCCCTTTGGGGCTTCTTTCCCTACATTGCTTCACACCGAATGTTGGCTGGTTCTCAACTTGGAGAGCAAAGGAAAGGAAGTACAAGTTTAGGGGCACCATTTTGTCTGGCTCCAGCTAAGGAGAGCTGAGGAAAGCTGTCACTTTCCTGATGATGCTGGAGTGTCAGCCTACTCTGCTTTTCTTCCCTTCTCTCTAGGATGTGTCTCATTATTTTAAAGTATTGACTCCTCCATAAGACTCTCTTGAGACAAAAAGCTGCCTTTGCAGGTAGTTGGAACAGTGTGTGGGTGCAGGGGAAGAATTTCCATGGAAATTCTGCCTCTTGCTGGGATCAGGAAACTCTCACATGATCTTTTTTCTCTTTCCATCGCTTAGAGTCAAAAAGACATGAACACAGGACTTCTTGCCCCCAAGGAGTTTTTGTTACATGTTACTTGTAACCACATGTGGCCCTTTGCAATTCTTTCCCATCTACTTGTAGGTAGAATTCATCTTCTCGTGCTCAATTGAATTAAAAGTTTGTCTTTCAGTTGCTCCACCTTCACGCTTCTCCAGCACGCTCTCTAACACATTGCTTCTGCTTTCCGAGTTTATTTTCCAAAATCTTTAGAGCCTGCTTAGAGGAATGACTAAAATGAAGTTTACTGTCTTCATTTCCTTCAGAGAGATTGATTTCCTTAAATTAACAGTTCCCTTTATTTCTCTCTGTCTCCGGGCCATCCTACTTAGGTAACAAACCCAATGCTAGTCCCGGTTTCCTCTGCATCAAAATCCATTCACCTCAGTTCTCTTTTTCTCTAGATGGACACTCTTTAGGTAGTTCCAGGTTACAGGATTTGAAAGCGTCCTTTCCAATCCTGGGTGACTATTGGAGATGCTTAACACAGAGTTAATACAGAGCACTACATCAGCTATAGAAATTAGCTTAGTAAACTCTGCAAATGTCTACTAATCATCTCCTGGGCATGTGCAGAGCAGAAGATTGGGAGGCCCTGGTAAGCACAACAGTCTTCACTATCGTGAAGGATGCAGTTTTATAAAATAGTCATTTAATTTAAATAATATTTCTAACTATATATGTTTAAATAACATTTTTTCAGAATTATGTCTTTTTTAATATTTCTGTAGAAGAAAGTTACAGATAGTTATTAAGGCAGAATATAGAATGATCTACTCATTTGAGAGAGAGAGCGAGTCGAGAAAAGTTTTTTGGGAAAAAGATCTTTCAAGAGACAAATGAAGGATTCCTAGAGTAAAGAGGAGGACAGAGGAGTGCAAACATTGTATATAAAGGGAGTACCATGAGCAAAGGCTTCATGTGCAAGGGTCATGGCAGGTTCACGGGTTCTAAATAGTTAAGGTGACTGTGACCCTATAGCACTAATGACGGGATATAAGTATGGAAGAAACACATGGACATAAAAAAGATTTGAAGCAGTTTGGATGCAGTCACAAGTGGATTTGAAGCATTTTCCTAATCGTAGCTACTGAGAGGAGAACAGACATGGGGGTGGAAACAGTGAGCATAGAGATAACTGTTAGGAGACTGACAAAGTAAATGAGGCAATTTATGATGTTTCTTGGAACAGACTGACAATTTCTGAGATGAAATAAATGAATGAATCTATGCGGTATGGGGGGATGATTTCAGGAAGTATAAGAGATGACTAGAAAAGAGACATGTCAGTGCCTTGGTTTAGGTTTTAAGCTATAGCATAAAATAAGGAGGAATAGTAAAATGTTTATGAAAACTGAATATGAATTCAGTGTTCACTTTGCTGGGTTTGAGAATATATTCAGCCCTCTGTTTTGGATATTTTCATAGACCCTTGTCCTGCTGCTGGCTTGCTCAGTCACATCTTCTGCATCTGCTTCCATGGTTGTTGATGATTCAAAAACACCTTTCCACATTTGTTTTCCAGATTTTTCTCTTTCATTTGTAACAGTGGCTATCATTGTTGAGGAAAAGTACTGTGAGTTGATGTTCTCCTCAAGAGTCACATGTGTGTTGAAGTTCCTATAGACTGATTGACTGATTATTAACATTTGATTCTGAAGAACCTGAATAGGTTAATCAAAATTATCATCCTCTAGATAGCCACTTATTTCTTACTTCCTCTAATAGCTATTTATTACCCACCTGTGTATCTGATCTAATCCTTTTTGATTATCAGGTAAAACTCTGGAATGTATTCTTAGCACATCTCCAGCTTCCACCAACCTAAAAACTAAGACTGTCATCCATTATAATTTAAAATATGTAACAGGTTTTTTCCTGCTTTCTGTGGTGCACTTACTTGTCCTTACCAATGCAATTTGGCAAATCCTCAATATGACCATCTTTTGTTAAGTGGCTATAAAATATTCACGTCACAACTTCCACATTAGTACATGTATTCTCTTGAATCCATGGTCACTCACATATGGCTCAGAATAAACTCTTTTTTTCCCTTTGAAGTGGAAGGTGTGATTCCTGTCAATAGCACCATAATGAGCTGAGCATAACCAGATACTATTGAAAACAGATTATACTACAGAAGCAGCTATCTTCAAATCAGAAAATAATAACATACTGAATTTGAATATATTTATTTATGAGCTTCAATAATCAATACTTTTCCTGTAGGCATTATTTCTTCTGTCCCCAACAAAAATTTTATGTTATTTAAAACCAAACCAGGAAATATACTTTTCTTTATTAGTGGCATAAAATGTTACAACATGAATGCATAATATGTCAACAACAAGAAGAAAATAATTTCTTAAGAGATTTGATTTCAAGTTTATCTTTAATATATTTAATAAACTTCAAAGTTTGGACTCAGGATCCAAAACTACACATAGTTTGCATTCATTTGGTATATCATATGTGTTTCTTTTCATTGGCAAATTTTGTTTCTTTAAAAAGTATGCAGTTTATTCATGGAAGAAACTTTTTATTTTTTCTGGCAGATTTTGCAAATGTCAAAGTTAAGAACTTTTTTCGTTGTGGATTTAACATTGTTAATTTTATGTTTCCTATGACCTCATGCATTTACAATAATCACTTCCATTTCTACAATTAGAGATATGGTTCTATTTATTTGACTTAGATTCAATTTTCTTACTGCTTTTCTTAAGAATATTTTTCATTTTCTTCTTTTTAAAATAATTATACATGATCTCATGTAGCAAAGACAGGCCTTGAACCAGCTATGCACCCAGTCCTAGCCTGGAATTACTCACCTTCCTGTACCTAAATCCCCAGTTCTTGAGTTATAGGTGTACCCCAACTTGCCTCGCTCTTGTTCAGAATTTCTTCAGGTGTTTTTGTTACTGCTTGTGATACTGTTAATTATTAACTTGACAGAATCTGTCAAGTTATTTCTGCCTATTTCTCTTGGGAAATAGGCCTCTGAGTATTCCTGTGGGGGATTAACTAGATGACGTTAACTGATGTGGGGAGACTCATCTGAGTTGTGAGTGGAGCCATTCCTTGGGGAAGGGCTTCTGGACCATGAAACATGAAGGAAGTGAGCTGAGCAGGAGCATACATTCATCCTTCTCTGGTTTTCTTTGTGGATGGGATGTGACCAGCTGCTTCCATTCCCTGTAACCTTGACCTCTCTACCATGATGGACTGTACTCTTAAACTATGAGCCAGAATTATTTCTTTGTCCTGTAAGTTGCTTGTGTTAGAGTATTTTTATCACATCAAAAGGAAAAGAAACTAA